TGGGGAGTCACAGTTAAGTTTAGCAGCCCTGTACAGTAGACGGGTACAGAGGGTGGTTACTTCTATTTTGAATGATGACTCCCATCCCTTGCACTGCCATTTTCGGCTTCTTCCTTCTGGACAAAGGTTTGTCGTCCCAAGATGTAAAATGCAGCGGTATAGAAATAGTTTTGTCCCCGCTGCTGTTATAGAGTTAAATAGGCTGTCGTAATATATTGCAAGTAATTTTAGGTTTTCTTCGGATGTTTTCTTTTATGTCTTGATTGGTGGAGCCCTGAGTACTTTTATTACATTTGGTGTAGGTGTCAGGTTTATGTTATATGTTGTTGTATTCTATTCTATTCTTGTATTTTGTGACTGTGGCAAGGGTGTCATTTGATCTGACTGCAAGACAAATTTACCTACCGGGACAAATAAAGTAACCTAATCTAATACATCTCTTTCACAGCAGATATTTTGACATGTAGTTTTGTGCCACAGCCTATGGCGGCTGTAACTGTAACAACTAGTAACAATGTGGAATCAATTATTAGAAAAACATCTTCTCTGCCATTGTTTTTGTTTGTATGCTTTGCAAGCACAGTATCCTGGCAACAGTCTTAGTGGTCATTTTAAGCATGTATTTTGTATATGTTATACAATGAATGTGAGATTCTCAGATAAGTTGTGAAATTGCAGGTATGTTGGAAGGTAATCACTTCCTTTTGTTTTCAGACCGTTGAAAGTATCAGTGCATGTATATTCAAAAGAGAATTGTCCTTACAGCAGACTAGTGCTTCACAGCAGAATTGTTGGGAGTTGTGTATTACATGTTGACCAATGTGTGTGTGCCCAGGTGAGATGATGTCCACTACTGCCAGGAAGAGAAAGCTCTCCTCTCCGGACTTGGACAGGTATATTCAGAGCTTAAAGCCGTGACTGCATTGGCTGCCAGCATTTTTCTAGTTTTCTCTTGCTTAGTTAAACAAGGAGCACCTGTGTTGGATCTGTGGCACTACATTTGTTGTTCAGCTCTCATTGTGACTGAACTTATGTCACTTTATGACCAGCCACCCAGCTAAGAAGGGTGGGAGGGAGGAGATGTCCCCCATGAAGAGAAGATCCCCCAAGAAGAAACCAGCAGGGCATCTGGGCAAAAACTGTCCCTCACCACAGAAATCCCCAGAGAGACTAGCAGGTAGGGTAGAATGGTGAAAGCTGAGCTTGATGTTTGCTTGATGTGGCTCTTTTAAGTCTGACAATTTGTTACCTGGTCTTTAAGGTTAAACAGCTAATAAATACTTTCTCACATGCACATTTTACCAACCTTTTCTGTTTATTTCCCTTTTTTTTATTTTTCCAGACTCACTACCCTGTAACTCTCCATTCAAACCTTCCATGGTTACCAGTTCCTTCTATGGCAAGCAGAAGTCCATCTATCTCACTCCACTAGAGAGAAAGGCAATAAAGGAGTCTCTGCCATCTGCCCCTCTTAGTTCACCTCCCTCCCAGGCCAAAAAACCAGAAAAAAAGAATATGAGGAGTTTAAAAAGAGACCAGAAGCCAAGAAACATGTCTGCAGGATCTAGTAAAAGAGGAAAGCTGGGTATCAAAAGCTGTCTGACATCTACAAAGACAATCAAGCTGCCAAAACATAACCACAGGTTTGCTTCCTTATAAGTCACAGTTAATTTGCAGCTGTTATGTTGTAGCTTTCTATTACATTGCTTTAGTTTTTTGGACATCATAGGTGTTTATTTTTCATGGCTTTCTGAGCTTTGCATTATTTAATTCAGCAGTGTCAGTGGCAAACCGGCTTCCACTACAGCTGCTGCTCCTGCCAGAATCACTAAACCACCAGACTCCAAGAAAGCAATCACCATCACTTTCAGCAGCCTGAAGCCTAAACCGAAGATCTTTGTTGGAGCTGCATTTTTTGGTACAGGGAAGAAACCTGCATCCATGTACAAGAAATCCACACCAAAATCCTCAACCAGACCAAATTCAGTACAGGGGAAAAATAAGGTGGTGCTGCCACAGAAGAAGAGTGAGAAAGCAAAACAGCCACCTGCTCCAGTGACAAACCAGCATCAGAAACATCCTGAAAAGGTGAGAAATTTCACTGTGTTTTGTTTATAATCTGCAAGTTAGACACTAAGCTTTCAGTTTTTAGGGTCCTCAGGGGGACATATTGTAGTTTTTATTCATTATACGTCATTGAATCATCACTGAGCCTGAGAAAATGGGTGCTCGAATTTGAATGTTTGTTTGCTTATTATTGGAACTGATGCATGCCACAGCTAAATAATATTGAGGGCTGACCCGAGTCACGCACAAGTTGTAGCTGCAAATTGCAGTCAAGATTTGAAAGCAAAGATATTGGCATATACAGTGCCTTGCAGAAGTATTCTTGAATTTGTCACATTACATTCACGACACTCTCCATCCAATCTGACTGAACTGGAGCTATTTTGCAAAGAAGAATGGGCAAAAATTGCAGACTCTAGATGTGCAAAGCTGGTAGAGACATACCCCAAAAGACTTGCAGCTGTAATTGCAGCGAAAGGTGCTTCGACAAAGTATTGACTGGGCTGAATACATATGCATGCTACACTTTTCAGATTTTTATTTGTAAAAAATCTTGAACACCATGTATCATTTTCCTTCCACTTTACAATTG